TCTCGTCTCTGTTTCAGCTAGCAGCTAACGGGATTAGCAGCCGGTCTCGTCTCTGTTTCATGTTGATGTGCTCATGCTGCTCATCTGCTCCCACAGACTCGTGTTCGTGCTGCTGTTCAATGTAATGTTTTTATGCTCTTAGTGTTTAGTGAATATGTAGTTGATGTTTGTCTTCGTTCATAACTTTGATCTTCTTACTGTTTTTCTTTCACATCTCACTGTTGGATGTAACTGGGATGTAACTGGGATGTAACTGGGATGTAACTGGGATGTAACTGGGATGTAACTGGGATGTAACTGGGACGCTGTGTACATAATGTCGTTCCACCACATGAGATGCGAACGATAAGTCAATGTGTGTGACTGTGAGTCAGGAGTCAGGAAGTCCACAGGACCACGGCGTGTCGTGTTCTGATCCGGTCCTCTGGTCTCTGCAGACCCCGTACCACGTGAACCTGCTGCTGGCGGGTTACGACGACGCCGACGGCCCCGGGCTCTTCTACATGGACTACCTGTCGTCTCTGGCCAAAGCTCCCTTCGCTGCTCACGGTTATGGAGCCTTCCTCACCCTGTCCATCCTGGACAGATACTACAGACCGGGTCAGAACCAAACAGAACCGCAGGAAGTCTCCTGGAGTTTTCACTGATGTTTTCAAGTTTTCAATGTTTCCACTTCCTGTTCCTGTGTTGCAGACCTGACTCGAGATGAAGCCGTGGAGCTGCTGAAGAAGTGTGTGGAGGAGGTGAGTCTTCTTCTTCGTTGGTTTGAAACATCAACTTCACTTCCTGTGCTGTCAGACCCAGAGCCGTCCTGGGACCTTGTGTGTGACCTTTGACCCTGCAGCCCCAGAACTCAGACCAAAGTCTGAACGATGTTTCTTCTCCTTTCTTCCTCTTCCAGCTGAACAAACGCTTCATCCTGAACCTTCCCTCCTTTAACGTCCGCTTGATTGACAAGGACGGCATCCACGACATGGAGAAGCTGTGCGTGGGTGCCAAGTGACCGCCGGTGGTCCACCGCTCCGCCACCGCGCCGCCCCTCACTCTGTTTGTACCGCTGACCTTTCTGCTGTTTGTGTTCCAATAAAAGCCTGACCCTCAGCTCGTCTTCCTGCTGGTGCTTTGTGCTCCCTCGGCCGACTCACAGGAACGCTGCAGCCTCCCGGCTCTGCTCACTAACGCAGGACGTGCACGTGTTCCACAACGTGTGCACGGTTGCTGCTGCAGTTGAAGCCGTTGGGGCCAGAATGGACGGGTGAAAGTGATTTATTGTTTCTGCAGCGATGGACCGAGGTTCTGAGGCAGAACCACCGAACACGAACAGACTCGAGTACCTGACAGAGCGCAGACGGGGCGGTAAGCATAAAGCAGGAGCGTTTGCTGGCGTCTCAGTATTTACAAGGAAAGTTCAGGAGTGACGGTTTTCAGGGTAAAAACACTCGAATGATCCCTGCAGGTCTCTGGAGTCACCATCGCTCGTGTTTCCTGTTGTCAGCTGTGTGTGTGTGTGTCTGTGTGTGTGTGTGTGTGTCTGTGTGAGTGTGTGTGTGTGTGTGTGT